GGGCCCCCCCCCCCCCTGCCGATTGGCAGGACGTGAGTTGAACTTTTTAAGTGAAGGGATGTTTGTGTGGGTGGAATGTGTGAATAAAGCCGGCTATGTCGTTAGAGCCTGTCGTCGGTGCAGGAAGCAAAGTGCACATGTAGGGGAGCGCAGAGTAGCCGGCTCCTTGCTTTGGCTTTAGCTATTAGTGGTGCGTCCCTGATTTCATATATGAAACATAAGCTGTTAATGAAGCTGCCACAACTTCTGGTATTCAGTGTAAGCTGTTACTCAAACGGCCTCAAATGTAGGGATACAACAGTAGGCCCTTAACCTCACCCTCCCCTGCCGATTTGTTAGGATATTGGTGGTGAGCCCCTCTCCAGGTCATAGCCAATATTTTGAAAAGGCTCCAAAGGACAGCTTTGCAGGTGCAGAGTTAAAAAGACACGGATGAAAGAGAACGCTGACGGTGACGGGTGATGTCTGCCGCTGGTAGAGGGGACCTCGCACAGGGCTGGCGATGGAACGTCGCTTGAAACACAGAAGTACAATTACGTCGTCTTTTTTTGTCCTCTTTGGCCTTTTTCGGGCTTCAATACTAACTTAGGAGCGACGCCTTACCTTCCGATGTGCCTCGTTATCTTGGGACCCTAAGTATACTCTGTCCCACTGTTCTTCGTATTTTGAGGGCTGGATCCTGTATCTTTTTTGCATTTTGCGATGTTTCTTAGTTATATCGGAAGATTGAGAGCGCCTTGACGTTTGAAACTGTGGCTTGTCACATTGCCGTTCATGAGACGATGGTCTGCCGCCTCTTCTTAGGGGCAGTTGCCCTTTCAGTGTGTATGGGCACTCTACGGGCATCCGATGCCCCACAAAGCAGCACTTCCATACATATGAAGGCTGAGGAGGTATGGGGCCATGTTTTCTGCGACCCCGTGTTAATGCCAAGCCTTACGATAGCCCTTAACGGGACTCCCCTTGGAAATACAACTTTGCTGCCAGCATTCCACAAAAGCCCGGCGTTTGGAAGAAGCACTGCTGTGGGCAGCTATACAACGGGGTCGCCATCACTTGAATTCAGGCTGCCTCCTCTGCTCCCTGGCTCTTACCTTCTTGAGGTGCTGCACCCCAGCCTGATCTTCCCAAAGTACAGGGTTGTTACAACGAGCAGCAGCAGCGAAGTGTACCTGCTGAATGAGTACGTCATGCCTACCAGTTTGTCCCCACTGCCGATGCCTGTCACTGTGGCGCCCACAGGCGTCCCGCGATACTTCCCCGCACAGGGCGGCTTCAGCATATTCGACTTGCTGCGACAGCCCCTCGTCATCCTTGTACTTGTGTCTCTCGGCATAATGTACTTCCTCCGCAAAATGCAAGAGGCGCAGACAGAGGCGGAGAGTCAGCAGCAGGAGCAGGAGTTGCCCGAGCAGCAGGCCGTGGATTCCTTGCACCAAGAAGCCCCAGAGTCTGCCTTCGTCGCGAAGCTGATACGACAAGGCGGGCACTAAAGAGAGGTACGCATTTCGCTGTGTATGGTTATAACTGAATCTATACTAAGCGAATGCGCGGACCTGACTTTTGTCATATTTTATACTGAAAGATTGCTGAAATCTAGGCATAGGCGTGGCCTTCCCAGAGCGCAGCAGTCTACCGACGTGCCCCAACGTGACGTGAGCTGATTCACGCGTTGCGACCAGCGCTCGGTATTGTCGCTCTACGTAGCAAAGACCCCGTGACGACTTATGTATCCTAGAGGGAGGGTAGCAGCACGCATTTACGTAGCAAGGACCCCATGAAGAGGCCTCTCTTCAAAAGGGAGGCTAGCAGCAAGCACCTGACTAGCAAGCTCCTCGTGACGAGGTCTGTCTTCCAAGAGAGGCTAGCAGCACGCAGCATGGCCAGTACTTCAAGCTCCGTGAGAACCGTCGTTAGAAAGGAGCTGTCGCAAATGCCCACAAACTGTGTGGCCAGCCCCACTGCACATTACCCCAAACGAAGCTATCCGCGCCATCGCAGTGCCGGCTACTTGCAAAACAAGACAAGACCCGCCCACAGCTCGTACAGACCAACGTCCAAGAAGAGCCATAGGCTCGCCACAAAGCTGTTTATGCATGCCCTGCGGGCCCGTTGACACCGGTGTGCCGCCGGCGGCACATAATTGAGATAGTCCTGTTGCGACCTAGTCTACACATTAATTTCACTGTATGCGGTGTGCCCTGATTGTGTTTTTGGCGCCTGCACCATCGCTGGCCTTCGGCTTGTGGCACCAAATAATTAAAAAGCAGTAGAACATGAACCCTTCCGCCCTCCATTAGCTGTTGTTACCGCTGCCCATCCACCTCGAGAACCAAGAAACATCCTCTGCATGGCCGTTGTTACTGCCGCTGGTTGCTTGGCGCTGCCCCGTGACTGCTGCTGGTCTTGTGGGCAGCAGTTGCTGCTGCTGCTCCGACTGCCGCTGGTGCTGCAACGTTGCGTGCCGCACGGGCCTCAGCGCCCCACTGGGGGCTACTGCAACCAGCCGCCCACCTGGAAGTTGCACGCAGTGCCGCTGCTGTTCAATATAGTCCAGATGGGGAGTATACTGCTGAGCATAGCCAAAGCTCCTCGTAGCTCCGGGCGCAGGTAACCCTTGCACTGGAGAGACGACATGTGCAGGGCCTGTAGGCCCTTGGCTGTAACGTGCTATCGGCGTCGAGGTAGTTCGTTGTCTTAGGTGAAGCTGCTCCTGCCAAACTTGCTGCCTCGCATCATACCTGGCGATGTGGCCAGGGAGACTATCACTCCAAACGCCTCCTGCAGGGCCTGCCGTATTCTGTAGGTTCCCACCAGATGGCCGCCTACACGTGACCATGCACATGCTAGTGGGTGGGCACGGGACCCTCGAAACAGGCCCGTTGTAGATTCGGCTAGCTGCAGCGTATGCTCGTGAGTTGGCGGCAACGTCCTCTGCTGCGGCCGACGCGCATGCTGGTGCTGCAGTTGGTGGTAAACGCTTTTCTGTGGCTCTCCAAGGCATATCTGGGTGCTGGGCTGGCTCCGTTGCAGCGGCCACCAGTGGGGAACTACGCTGGCTCTTAACGAGTCGGGCCGTCCATCCTTCCTGTTCCTTCCTCGCTTCGTTCCAGATCTCATCTACAACCCTCGTGGTCTGGGGTAGCAGCTGCTGCAGCCGTTGTCTCTTGATTGCCGCAAGGATAAGTTCCTGCTCGGCTGCGATTCCCGCCAACTCTTGTGCACTTACTTGCAGGCACTCCGCTAGGGTCTCTTCTTCGAGGCCTGTAGGGTCCCTAGCTGGCGTTGAAGAACTTGGCACACACTCGCCGTTCGCGCCCGAACTGGTGGAGGAGGTTCCAGTGGCAAGGGACAGGACTAATCTTGCTAGGCCCTCAGCCTCGAGCTGGCCTATCATGAGTCCTCGGGCAATAGGAAAGCCCTCTTTCACAAAGTGGAGCTGCGAGCAAGCCACCTCCGCCACACACATGCTCTTCAGCGATTGCTACCACGAAGAAAGAAAAGTCTATAATCTTCACTGGACACTACGGTGCAGCACTAACCATATCTCGTTGGCCTGCAAAGACGTGGTCGCACCGCTACTTCGATGCTCCACAGCATGTTGCCACCTGGATTATCGTTCGGCCCCACAAAGCGAATCGGATGCCTTTTTACTATATTCACATCGCTGCCGAAGAAATGCATTCCTTGCAGGCTTACTGAAGTGTAGTGGCCGAGCTTCCCGTGCCACATGAGTCGGAAAGGAGTAAGGGACTCCCCTTCCCTGTTGGGTAGCCGCTTTTTTTCCGGATCAGGCTCAAATGCCTGTAACAACTGTAGATGCTCGTCGAAGACGAAGATGGGGGTTCCGAACAGTAAGAGTAGCGCATGCATCTCCCTGTAGTCAGCCCACTCTGCGTGCGTACCACAGCGACCACAACGACTCAGCAAAAAAATAAAAAATGTCATGGAAGAAAGGCAGTACTCCGAGGGCTGTGCGCTGAAGTTACAGCCAACTTGGGTACGGGTCCTGCACAATGCAGCCGTCACATTCTGCCTACTGGGAACCAAAAATGCTGCTCGCGTCATCAAGTCATTCATGTATGTATATAGGAGGTTAACTCGAATGCCTCCATGAAAAGCCAATGCATGTGCTCTAGTTTTGTTCCTTTTCGATGCGGGCACTCGAGTTAGTGTTCGCAGGCTTCCAAATAATTCTCTGTTGGCAAAGCTTAAAGGGCCCTGCAAGCCTGATTTTCTGGCAAAGAAAAAATTGAGCTGCTCTCTAGAGAATGTTAACAGCTCGAAACTTGCGTCAGTGGCTAGCACCTCCGTATGTCCTTTTTGTTTGAAGCCATCGCTCAAACGGGCCTTCGCTTTCATCCACGAAGGCCTCAAAAGTGTCCTTGCACCTCAACTGCGCGAACAAGCAATCAAAGCAGTGGAAAGGCACCTGTCACAGCACAGCAGTCTATGCTGAAGAAGAACGTGGCACCTTTGAGGGGGAAACTGCCTCACCATCACATCAACGGCAAGCCACCGTAAGAAGAGGTGGTGATCCTGCGACCCATAGAGCTGCAAATGATACAAAGCACAAGTTACAGTCTGTTGTTCGGTGTGTTACGCTCATCTGAGGTCTCGGAAAATTCAGCCCTGAAACCTACGGGTTCTCACCCTTAGAGCCGAAACAAAAATTTACCTGATCAGAAAATGCCCGGTAGAGGCAATTGCCATCCCCTTCGCACTCGCGAGTCGACATGTAGGGGGCCATAGCTGCAATGGCGGAGTCCTGCGTTTTCTTCGTACTGCTGACGTTGTTGGTACTCCCGCTCGTGTGGACTCTGCCGCTGCCCTGGCTGTCAGGTGGGTTGTTTTCCCTCGCCCGCTGCTCGCTCTTCTGTGGTTCTGCATGCTGCTGCGGTTGCTCCTGTAGTTTATTTTGCTCCTGCTGCTCCTTAGAAGCTGCCAGCTTTGGGCCGTCCTCCGCAGGGGCCTCCGCTTCACTCTGGGGTATCTTGCCCCCGTTACTACACGGGTAATGGAGCTGAAGCTTCTCTTTTCCCCCAATGATAACGCCTTCTACGGCATCTCTCTGAACTTGGTCATCTGTAGTTCTGCACAAGCTCTGTGTAGTCCTTGGGTGCTGCTGTTGTTGCTCTTGAGGCCGCAGCTTCTCCGTTCCCTGCCCCTCTCGCTCTTCCAGACTCGAGTGCTTCTTATGTTTTACTTGGTGAACGGCACTTCGTGGCTCGGCATCTTTCAGACATGTCTGACATGTCTGGCTAGCCACAGGGTCCACTGTAGAGCTTGAAGCATCATCCTCTATCCTGGGTTCGCCGCCTTCCCAAGAAGAGCACGTTGAAGAATTCGAACACCTCGCCAAAGGGCGCAGAGAGCTTGATTTGATGATCACGTCCTTAGCATCTACCACTGGTGCAACATGTGGAGTTGATGGTTCCACAACTGTGCAACGGAAAGTCCCACTTTGGTTGTTCTGTATCGTCCAAACGCCTCTGTCTTGAGTATCTCTGCATGCATCATCTCCACTGTGGCTACTGGAGCAAGCTACATGTATTTCTGCTTTGACTGAGACCTCCTGCTCCTCTTGCTCCCGCCCCTTGCCTGGTCCCTTGCCCGAACATTTTACATATACGCCCTCACATGCCTCTCCAGGGTCCTTACAGGTCTCTGTGGATACTTGGACATCTCTGCGTTCAAGTGCAGTTGCTGTATGAGACGGTTGAGGCGCAGCGGGTGCTTTGCACAGCACCCAACCGCCGTCTGCAGCTTTAGTGCAGATCAAGACGTTGGTGCTCTTGCAGCAGTGGCAGGCAAACTGCAGGATTTGTGTACCGTCCGAATCAGACCTTAGTCGGAATCCTTCGTTCTCGCCCATAGGAAAGGGTGCGCCTTCGGCAGCATTAACTGAGACCACACCAGTGGGGGTGTCGACACTCTGCTTCGCATCAGCAGCAGCCATGGTGAATCTCTGCCACTTCCCGCTACGACGAACCTGATAACGGACTTTATCCTTTTCTGTACCTGCTGCCTGCTGCTGCTGATGTGTTCTTCAAGTCAAAAGCCTCACCCTCGATTGCCCACTGAAAGCCTCGAAAAGAGCACCGGAACCGTTACGAGCAGATGCGGAAGTTGATGAGCGACTTGCACTCCTCCCTGTTAAGTTCTTCTGGGCTCAAGGGATCCCTCGAAATGCGGCCTCGGCTCTGCTAGTTCCCGAAGCAGATGCCAGTGGCTAAACGCGGTGGTTGGTAAAGGCAACGCCCTCCATTGCCTTCAGCAGCATTGCCTTGCGGTGATGCATCCTTCTAATTGTTTCATTAATGCATTTAGGCTGTTGTCTTACGTGTGGCAGTTGAAAGAAACTAGCTGATAGACTACGGCGGTTCGGCGCACCCCACTGCGGTGCAGTCAAAGGCGTGGTGGTAAGTAATGGTGTAGGTAGCGGAGTGAATGCTGCTTCCTGCAATGCTGTCGCTTTCTTCCTGCTCAAAAA